GTACTGTTATACGATTTTCATAAAGTATACAAAACTGCAACTATTTTTATAAAGTACAAAAATTTTCCATTGATTCATAAAACTTCAATACAGCCTCTCTATATGCTTTTGTTTCATAAATGTATATTTTTCCTCAGAACACATCATAATGTAATAAATATGTACCTTTATAAAGAATATTTATTTTAGTAACAAATGTTTAGCCAAATTTGAATTTTTTAAAATAACAGAAGTAAGTTTTCAATGCACTTTTTAACTAAATAAAATTTATTACAGTTCTCTAGAGGGAAAATTTTTTTAAATGAAAAATAGAAAAATGCAAATAGAAATTTATGTGCATTAATTGCTGCATTTATTGTGATACATTATGTCATCGGGATATACGTCATCGTTTGGTGCTCTCGCAAGTCCTGGTTCGACTATGTCCGATGTCGGTGGCGATACAAACTTTCGACATTAACCCGCGCCCAAGTTTGTCCTTTCACACGCCAACAATCATATTTTTGCCTGACCGCAAAATTATCTAATTGCCATGGCTATAAAATATTGGCCTAGTTGCCGGGTAACTTCGGGACTCAGTCAAATTAAATGCTAGCACGATCCAACTGTTCCCTAACTTCCTTTACACTTCTTTTTCTTTCTTTTATGATGTTATAACCAAGAATTTTTATATACGTAACTGTCTTATATATAATATATTACTCGATCGTCTTGTTAAGATTGTACGCTTTTCATTTGTAAGGTAAATACAACTGAAATTCAAGCGTTTCTCCTTGTGGCATATCCCATCCGTATTCGCGCGCGACGCAAACAAATTATCTCAATTTCGTTTGTTTATTCGCGTGACGACTGCCTTGTCGATATTTGTTGAACTCAAGTTTCGATACAGTGACATCTTCTCGTTTTGTTGAGATATGCAGATCAGTCCTAGAACGGTGGTTATGGTGCACCACGTTTTGGATTTGCAGATGAGAGTTGGCGCAACCGTCTGAAACGTTGTTGAAAAGATACTCAAATGAAGAGTAGAAAAGTCCAGGGTCGTATAAACTCTACTGCGCGCGTGTAATTCAACCAAGTAAAATGCCAGCCAATAAACCTGCATTCGGAACTTCTCTTGTTTTCTTTGAATGCATTTCGTGGGCACGCCTACGTTATAGTCAGGGTTATATGGTACTCCGTATTCCTCGATATTTTCTACGGTCGGTCCGTTGTTTTTCTTTTACCATTCCACTTGAACTTATCTACTCGTCTAAGCTTTTGACTTAGACATATTTTATCGCATTTTAACAGAACATATTACGCTTCCTGTATTCTGATATTGTAGTATTATAAATAATACCAATACACATCGTTTAGTATGCACCGTAAATCATAATCTTTATAGATTGTTACAGAGATCTTTGATAGATGAAGAAAAGTATCGTTTATGATGAGAAAGAATTTTTATTTTGGGAAAAGAGACACATATAATTACATACGTTAAAAATATTTCGATAAGATATTAACGACATTTATTCCAATTCGTTGTTGAAAACAGAAAATACTTGTTTGTTTAGATAAAACGCCAATAAATTGTCTCTAATCATTAATTAAATTTATGCTGAATTTGTAATAATTACGTCTTTTATACTAAAATTTTTTACTTTTCATTATTTTCTTTATTTTTATAGTAATTTATTCATTTGGTACTTTTATTAAGTATAAAGGAACGTTGATATTTCTAGTATTAATATTAAAATAAATGAAAGTAGTTTTTAAAATTGTTACATATTTTGAAATATGTAACTTTGTATTTGTTCAATGTGTCTCTCTTTAAGATTTCTATTATAAAACTAGTTAGCTGTTTCAAGAGTTTACAAAAGCATTTTACATGTTGCTAATTTTTATGTGTAAAGTAAGGGTAGTTGAAAAAAGTTACTTATGCTTTGGAACGTGAATTATCATATATTATATGCAAAACGATGATTTCGAAGTGCTCAATGTCGTATATGTACTTTCTAGCTGTATACGATTGGCCATCGACACAATATAAGAATTTGCTTGAAGTGTGCCAAGTCGTTCACTCAAGTTTGAAAGTTTTGTTAAAGCTCGTAAGATTGCCAATAAGATTTTGTATACTTCAATGTGAATAGAGGAGCGTACTTGTGTGAAAGTCGTATTTAAGATACAAAATAAAATACCATTCATTTTTAAGTATTAATTTAAAAAATCTAAATTTTTTTGTTAAAAATGTTTTAATGTTCTTGCACAATTTTAGATACGTATAATAAATAAATAAAAGATTTGACATAGTTAATAGTTAATATTTCGCACTTTGTGTGTGGGTGAATAAAATACGTGTTTGAAACTTCTTAAATATTTTTATAATATGATTCTACAAAATTAGATTAGATTATATGATAATTAGATAATAATTTAATCCTATATTTGAGAAAGATCCAAATTTTCAATAATTACCTGTTAATTAAATTTGTAGTCCACTCGATGTGCTGAATATTATTTTAAATAATTTCATACTTAATCATATGTATATGTAATAAATATATGAAATTAAGTAGATTATATATCAATATTTTCAATATATTGTTATTTATTCATATTTATGTAATTTTCTTTTAAATGAACCAAAATATTTTATAAAGTACGGAAGCGTTTTCTATAATGCACAGTTTTATTGTATTATATATATATATGTATGTATATCTAATTTATATTATCTTGAAAGAGTCGAAAGAGTAGTATTTAAATTATTCGTAACAAGATAATCGGCATTCCTTAGTATTAGTTAAAAGAAGCAAAATATAAATTTTTATATAAATCTTAGTATTATACAATAGAAGATCTTGATTCTTGGAAAATGGAATGCAAATGAACAAGATCAAGATGTTGAAACCAAACGCGATGCAGGGTTTTACTGCGAAACCCTAGATATAGATTCCTTTAGAAGTAAGAGTAAATTACTTTTACTTGTAACAGTAAAGGTGGAGAAGTACAAGTTATAAATTAATGCAATCCACGTGGTTGCGTTTTTAATCGCAAAAACGTATATCTGTGCTTGAGAACTGTCACGAGAACTGAATGTTTATGGCGTAAAAAAAAAAAAAAAAGGCGAGAGAATAAAGTAAACTTCTCTATGAAACTGTTATTTTCTCTTACGAGAAATTTAAGATATGTTCGTCGGGGAATATTAACCGCGTAAAGGTAACTAGCAAGAAAGTACTTTCTGCGAATTTGGCCTATGCAAATACGGGTGAACAATCCGGATAGGTCGAGTTTGCGAGCCCTCGCCTAGTGAAAAAGTTTGGACGCCTCGCGACGAATACTAATTAAAGACTTGCGGAATGAAATTAGTTAGCCGAGGGGTCGGAGGTGACTCTCGAGGATGGACGATGGAGTCCTCGACTCGGCGACGAAGAGCCGCTTATGATAATATAATAATACTTACTTGGGGCCTCGGAGTGCTACCTCCAAGCTCATTATGCGTTTAGTTCATAACTTCAATTGGATTCTTACTATCCCTACCGAGCCAGGGCTTTTCATCCAACCGTTGTCTCAAACCATCCTAATTATACAAGTAATTACTATCGCAAAAGAGAACGTTTCAACTCATTCATGGCCGCGATGATGCTGCATAAGCAAAGATAGTTTATCTCTTTTGCAATTCAAATATTTTGTTCGAGATATTTGATTAAAATTTATTGTACTTATTGTAATTTCTCGTTACAGTAGAAATACGGTATCATACATCATTTTAGAATTTAAACATTTCTATCTGCATATACTCTATTATTAGCTAAAATGATTTTGATGATTATAATTTCCTTTCGTTAGAATTGTATTGAATCATTTCAATTCGGGGTGCATTTTGAAATGCGATTTACGATTTACCGTCAGTAAACGCATTTGAGAAGAGAGAAAAGAAAATATTTGTTGACCCCCCCCCCCCCCC